GATAATGGAGCTAATCTTTTTTTTCTCTCTCTCTCTCTCTCTCTCCCGGTGGATCCCATTTTTGGTTGAGTGTGTAGGAACAATTTTCTATCTCCAGTAGCTTGAGATAAATATTGCCTATATATATATATATATATATATATATATATATATATATATATATATGGCAATTATTTTCTCCTTTTAAAAGTTAATTTTTTTTCCTACTAGTATGGTATAAGTGAGGTATACAAAATAGTTGACAAAAAAAAATTCAAGGTGGGACCCACTTATGCCATGAGTCATTAGTAGGAGAAAAAATTTCTCCTTTAAAAGGAGAAAATATTTTCCCATATATATGTATATATATATATGTATATATATATATATATATATATATATATATATATATATGTATATATATATATATAGGGTTTGGTGCTTATCCTTTTAAAGGATATAAAATTGTGTCCTTTTAAGTAAAAGAAAGAGATATACAATGAAAATCATCGGGGAGAGAAAGTGGGTGGTTTTTTTACTTTAAATTTTAAATAAAGAATATTAGTTTTAACTAAAATGACCGCTCTTTAAAAGGACAAATATATTTCTATATATATATATATATATATATATATATATATATATATATATATATATATATATATATATATATATAGGGATAAGATCAATTATTATTTGTGTAAGAATAATAAACCTTACATTCAATTTTATCTGTTGATTTCCGTCCATTAAACGATTGTAATTAATATTATTATTTTCATTAATTCATTATTAATTTTCAATAAATTATAACCATCATATATGCAAAAATTAATTCTTAAAATTGAATATAAAATTTATTAATCTTATACCGGTATAAGAAGATTTTGACTTTTATATATATATATAGGGTTCGCTTTTGCTACAGTCAATGTAGATAAGTTATCTACATTGAGCCCAAAATGACGTCGTTTCCAGGCGGAAATCAAGGTATCTTTGTAATTATAATTTATTTCAGGGTTATAATAGTCTTTTTTATTATAATTTTTTAATTTTTCAACTCAAAACGACGTCGTTTTAGCAGCGAATGTAAATAACTTATCCACATTCACTTTAGAAACATTAAAGCCATATATATAGGAAAAACAAATGTCATGTTGTAGGACAATTCTCTTGTCATGCTATAGAGACAATAAATGTGGGGTCCACTATGTTTAAAATAAAAAGAAAAGAAAAAAATGCAGCAGAAATATCGAGCCTTTTTGACCCTTTTACCTTTTATTAATTAATTAATAACCATTTTGCTCCTTATTCAAAACTATCCACCAATTTTCCCCTCTTTAATCGATTAACTTGAATATTTAATCGATTAAATGGTCAAAACAGATAAAAATGATTGACTCGAGATTTAATCGATTAAATATCCCTCTTTAATCGATTAAGAGAGATATTTAATCGATTAAAACTTATAGTTAATCGATTAAATATACCAAATGAGCGTGAAAACATTGATTGAATGAGACAAACAAGGAAAACTCGTTGGTTCACTGCGTAACGAGAACCAATCTTGATTTATTAACGCATTTGAGCTGTTCCCTGAATCCAAATTTTCACATAATGCTCGCCAAGTGACCTTTGGCTCCCAACTCAGACCTGTCCCTTGTTTAAGAACATCCCGAACTATGATTGGTTCACCTTTAATCCAATACTGTTGGAAGAGAAATAACCCTTCTTCTGACAAGTCACTTGATACTGGACAATATATGTTATTATCATTCGTGTCATCTCTAAAAGAAGCTCTTATCATAGATTTGCTGCTTAATATTGCTTCTTTCTGAAGAGTTTTGTGCTCAATTTTGCAAAAATTCTTCAGCATGTCACGAATTTTGGCTTCCAACTTAGAAATCCATCCATTTGGAAGTATGGACTTCAGCTCCAATACATAGTCACCACAACCCCTCATTTCTTTTGGAGCACATCTAATACTTCCATCACTATTAGCATTCCAATCAGTATATATGTCAATAGTACCTAAATTTAATCATTATACTTCCATCTAATACTTCCACAACCCCTCTAAAGTCCCTAAATCACAATATACTGGTTGAGGATGACCACCATGCATGTATTCACTGCCCTGATTAACATATTCAAACTTCAGTTCAAGCCGGGGTGAAATACTTCCATTTCGTATTTCTTCACAGCAAGTAAGACATATTTCAAACGAACACTTGGGGCAGCCAAAACTTAATCATTATAGTAAACTAAACCTTAATCATCCCCTTTGAACGTAGCGAGTTTTTCTCGTTTGTCTCATTCAATTAATGTTTTCACGTTCATTTGTGATATTTAATCGATTAAATATAAGTTTTAATCAATTAAATATTCAAGTTAATCGATTAAATCTCGAGTCAACCATTTTTGCCTATTTTGACCATTTAATCGATTAAATATTCAAGTTAATCGATTAAAGAGGGACATGTTGGTAGATAGTTCTGGGTAAGTGACAAAATGATTATTAATTTATTAATGAGGGGAAAAATGGTTATATATAGGGAATATTATTTCATGTTACATGAGACTAGTTCTCTCATGCTATAGAGAGAATTCAAGTGGGGCCCACCATAAAAAAACAAAAAAAAGAAAGAAAGAAAAAAGAGGGAGTGCAATTTTTGAAGTGAGAGAACATGAGATAATTATCTCATGTAAAATAAGAGTAATATTTTCATATATATATATATATATATATATATATATATATATATATATATATATATATATATAGGTAGGATCCTTTGACACTGGTGTCAAATTTGAAGTTTGCCACCTCATCTGAGAGCCGTTAGATTAAAAAAGATCAACGACTTTGATTTGTAAGCATATGGTACCATTGATCTTTTTTTATCCAACGGCTCTCAGATGAGGTGTCAAACTTCAAATTTGACACTGATGTCAAATGATCCTACCTCATACATATATATATATATATATATATATATATATATATATATATAAATGAAAATGTTTCTTCTACCATGGGAGATGACATATTCTTAGCATTCACAAAACTATTTGGCTTTGAGATTTTGAGAGAGTTAATGAAGGATATTTTAGAAATTTTGTTTGTTTCTTTGTTATATAAATTTTAATAAAATTCTGTTCATTAATTTTTTCAACCCTCAAAACGACATAATTTTGTGATTGTTGAAGATTATTTTATATCTTATGGCAGGAAAAATAATAAACTCATATATATGGATTACTGTTTCTCATCATGTTATAGAAGATAATTTTATTTTTTACATATATATAAAAATATATAAGGCTTATATTTTTCTTTTTATTTGTTTTTTATATGATCATCCATATAAATTTTTTTATATGCATGAGGAGAAAGAAAAAAATAGAAAGAACAGTGCGATGATCGATGAGTGTGCAGCAAACAAAAATTCTCTCCATTTGCTTGATAATAATACGAGCAATGATATTTTTACTACCAAAATTTTCTACTACTAACTTACTACTTATCTAATTACCATTGAATCAAAGAGAGAGAATGCTAAAATTTTTTTGAAAAAAGAATAAATGTTGATACAATGATGATTAGATAGATAGTAAATTAGTAGTAGAAAATTTTGATAATAAGAATATTCTTCCTCTAATAATATTGCCCATATATATTTCACTTACGAAATAAAAGAGGTTTAGCGTGCTTGGACCCAATGGGTGCAGCTCAGTTGGTAACTTGGCGCTGAGTTAGTGGGGTTGAATATGTGTTCGATTCCCGCTGAATGCATTCTTGGGGAGGGAGCTGAACCTTTAGCCATCACTGTTCCCCCGCACTCGGATTAGTCTCGTAGCCGGCTCAAAGAGTCGAAGCTCGTGGAAATACCGGAGGGAGCCAACTCGTCTCAAAGAGATAATTAGGGTTGGGTAACTCAAAAAAAAAAAAAGTTTAGCGTGCTTTTCTGATCCATGGTGAGGACGATGTACTACTGTCTTCAAGTGAAAAGAAGGACGTGGTTGTCGTGATTAGACTATACCGTGATTCGTGAGTTCTATCTCGCCTTGCTACCCATGATGAATTATTTACTAATGTATGATGTCACGTGGAGATTTATATATTGAGTCACTGTTATGGCACGATGTATACAGGTAAATAGATAGGTAGCTTTTGATGCTTCGAAAAGGGTACCAACGCTCCTAATGTAATGCAGAGTTCTAAATTGTTTATTTCTTTGTGGACTTACCATATCGTGTGTATGCGTTTTAGATTAATTGTGTAGAAAAACTTTCCGCTATTTGGTTATACTTTAAATTTTCTTAACTAGTTAGAGGTGTTATAAAAGACGCCTCTCTGTCTCCGTCCAAACATGTAGTTTGAAAAAGAAAAAAGTGAAGAGAAACCACCTTAAATATTATGTTTTATATATAATCCTTTAATTTTTGATTTCATATTGGTTTGTAAAGTTTAACTATTGTTATAGTATATCTTTTCGTTAACTTAGAGGGTTAATTTACCATTATTGAACTAATCCTAATTATTTATTCTTATTATATTCACACTATTAGTTTAAATGTTTTATTTAAAACTATATTATCTTATTTTTTTAAAATTCTGAAATTAAAAAAATACAAGTACAAAATTCAAAAATTAAAATATTAATTTTTTTTGTTCCAGAGAAAAAAAAAGGCGATGTCTCAAGTTTTGTATTTCTGTATTTTTTAACTTAAGAAATTTAAAAAATAATGTAATATAAATTTTAATAAAAAATATGAATCAATAATTTAGACAATATAAATATAAATGGTTAAAATTTGACGTCATGTTAGTAGAAAGATGTATTATAAATCGAGACTTCGAAAATTAATTAAAACGAAATTAAAAGTAACTTTCAAAACTTTGTCCTTTTGTAATTATTACAGTATATAATATTTACATTATTACATCACATTTACCTTATATAAATTTACAAATACTAGATTGTAAGTAGCAATAGCATCACTCCGCTTATCCGTGAAGCGTGAAACTAGCCAACAGACAACAGTGAAAGCTTACAGATTACCGCCAACTACCTCGAATGTCCGACTCAGGTTCACCACACGATTTTGAGAGTACAAACACGACAACATCAAGAAGGTCATGGCTTTTAACACCGTTCTTTGCTATCGTTCTTCCTGTCGCAGTGGCTGCGCTTCTTTACCGGCTCGACCCGTTCGAACCGGTTCAACTCCCAGTCGACGAGCTCAGCCGGGTCTCCTTCTCAGCCCCCGCACGTAACGAGCACATGCAACGAGGATCTGAAGCTGTGGCAGAGGGACACGTGGCGGGACCTGAAGACTTGGCTTACGATTCTGCGGCGCGTGTCATTTACACGGGGTGTGAAGATGGATGGATCAAACGAGTCGCGTTGAATGAGTCATCGGTGGCTGATTCGGTGGTTGAAGATTGGGTCAACACCGGGGGAAGACCGCTTGGGCTATCTTTTGACCAACATGGTGCACTCATAGTTGCTGACGCGGATAAGGTGAGTCACTTTCATTAGCCGTGAATACTTAGCTCCTAAGCTTAGAGATAAGTATTATGTACAGTACAAGAAAATAATATTGTTTTTTTTTTGGTGATTTCAAAATAATATTGTTTTAGGAGTATAAGATTAAAAAGTTATAATAATAAAGACTAATATAATCCTACAATATATTAAAATTATAAAAATATCTTAATTTTCACGACATAATTTTGAACTCATAAAAAATAACTTATCTCGGGTCCTTTGAAGAAAATAACATTTGTCATAAACAGCTCCTGTTACGAATAATATAAAAATTCATTAAATATACACAAAAGGCAATTTTTTCAACACAAAGTTGTGTTCTTTAGGATATCAAACATTTTCTTCCACAAAATAATGTAAGATTTATTCAATACTCTTTGTGTTGTATTGTTTTGCATGCAATGAAGTTTGGATAATGAAGGGGTAGGGATTAGTGGTTTTCTTTTTCTTTTTCTCTACCTGGTGTTGACAAGAGTTTGTATCCGGTGGATAGCAAAAATTTAGAAATTTGATTTGTTTCTTAAATTGTGATTTTTTAGAACTAACGGATTTGAACAATCAAACAAAATACTTTTTTATATATATATGTAATGTGTTGTGCTTTACTTTTAGCAAATCAAACGCACACATGATAAATGGTATAAATATTGTGTATGTGCGACAAATATGATGTATGAACAATTTTACATGCAATGAAGATCATTCTCTTCTTATTCATTCAAATAATTATTTTCTAGAATTCTATTCATATGTAATTATTTTCTTTTGTGAGGTAGCACCAGCATAGTGCAGAAATTCGATAGGAATGCATAAAAGAAATATGCATATTAGTAAACCAAATAGATCAAGACTGGAACTAAGCCTATTGTTAACAATGAAAACCTTCGAATTATTTTTACTTTACTGTCTATACAAATATGCTCCGGGAAATGATTGGTGAACGACCGTGTAAAGAGATTATGCAAAATCTGAGTGTTTTCAGAAATTGTGATACAAATCTTGGGAGAATCTCACCCAAAAAGCTAGCTTGTAAAGTAAGAGAACCCAAAGTCTATATAAACTTTATATCAAAACCTTATGTTTCCGATACTTTGGATCTGAATCGTAACAAAATGTTTCAGATTCAATTTTATCTAAGCTCATTTTTATGATGGGAAGAATTTATTTGTGAGACTAAGACCAATCTTTTTAGTTTTTGACATTACCACTTTCTTGAAGATGGGAGTTTAAATTCATTTTTCATTGATTTAATTTGATTGTTATTTTTTCTTATTCTTGTGTACCACAAAATTACCCTGATTGTTATTTTTTCTTATTCTTGTGTACCACAAAATTACCCTGATTATGGTTTGTGAGCACTCTAGTATCCACTTAATGATGCAGGGACTGCTGAGAGTGACAAGAGAAAAGGAGGTTGAGATGCTTGTGGACGAGGTTGAGGGCTTAAAATTCAAGTTAACAGATGGTGTTGATGTAGCACACGATGGCACTATTTATTTCACTGATGCTTCATACAAATACTCAATAAAGGAGGCCCTCTTGGACATCTTGGAAGGCAAGCCAAATGGTAGATTCTTGAGCTATAATCCAGCAACAAAAAACACAACCCTGCTTGCTCGCGACCTCTACTTTCCCAACGGAGTTGCAGTCTCACCAGATCAACATTTTGTGGTCTTCTGTGAAACTGTCCTGTAAGTTACTTGCTATTGGATAAGAGGAAATCAAATTAAATTTTGTACATACTCTTATCAACCATCTCTGTCAAATTAAGGCACTTAACTTATTAAGTAAAGGTTATTTGAATACGAACTTAAGTACAAACCGCTTGCAGAATTCTGAAAGTTGTTTGACTTATTTCAGTTTGCTCTGATTGTGCAGGATGAAGTGCAAGAAATATTACATACAGGGCTCTAAAAAAGGAAGTATAGAAAAATTCTGTGACCTACCTGGCATGCCTGATAACATTCATTATGATGGACAAGGGAAGTATTGGATTGGAATAGCCACGGTAACGTAGCCCTCAACTTCATTATTTATCTATATATCAATTAATGGATTAACATTCAATTTTGTAACCGAGGAAAGAAAATCATGTACAAATTATTATTTTTGAAAAGGTAAATACAAAACCAAGGGCTTAGGGAATATTATTTATGAAATTAATTACACTAAACTGTCATTCTCCAAAAGAAAAAGGAAAGTGCTGGATCTTTCTGTCTTGTTTACTCATGAATGTTGTTTTTGTGCATTACTGGCAGGCCTTTACACCTGATTTGGATTTCATAATTAGATACCCTTTCATTCGGAAGGCTATAGCGATGGTTACAAAGTATGTAGTGAGTCTACCTTTGTCGAAGAATGGAGGAGTTATAGCCGTCGATTTGGAAGGAAAACCAACTGCACACTATTATGATCCCGAGTTATCATTGACTAGTGGGATTAAAATAGGTAAACATATATATTGCGGCTCCATTTATTACCCTTTTGTTATACGTCTTGATATTGAGCAGTATCCAGCTCTCCCCACAATTTGAACTACAAAGAACATCTCATAAGATTATGATGTACTAGCAAATTATAAGTTTATGCCAAGCGTCATGTTGTTGGCGTAAATTGGGATTCATGTAAAAGTTCCATTTATCACTTTGCTATATTTAGGAGTCTTATAGAATACGCCTGTCTCCGCCCATACATGTAATTCTAAAAAGGAAAAAGTGAAGAGAACCTTAAATATTATGTTTATAATCTTTTAATTTTGATTTCATGTTGGTTTTTAAACTTGGATATGTTATTCTGCCTATTCTTATTTTGCTTACCTTTGCCTACCTCTTTCAATATCGTTCGATTACAATCTCATTCAACTGTCAATATTTGTGATATAAAATAAACTTTTTTTTTTCCTTTTCTTTCTCTTCACTTCCTCCCACACCTTTTCTCTCTCCTCCCCTTTCTCTCTTCCTCTGCGACCAAGACTGAAACTAACTAGAAAATCAAACGAAAAACACATTCCACCATCAATTAAAAAATCTCACTTATTTTGCCCATCCATAAACAAAATATCTTCAAACACATACGATCAGGGAGATGAAGTGGAGAATATTCTGTATGGTTATGTGGGAATTGCAGATGACTTGAACAAACTAGATTTCAATAGCAAGAAATGTAAAGAGCAGGAAGGAAATTGAGGACCTTGATAATGCTCCTGTTAAAACCGATGAGAGACAATACAGTAGGTTCAAAGAACTTCTCAGGAATTTCATGGTCCCCTCATGCTAATAAGAATCGAGTGTGCTATTAAAATCAATAGCGATATATTGATCAATGAGTATGTGTTTTAATAAGAACATCAAACTTATTATTTTCTGTATTTGAAGAGAAAATACATAAACTAATCGAGCAATTAATCTTGCATTTATTAATCGAACGATATATTGCATTTTTATTCGGATAAGATTGTATAGATTAATTTGTTAGATTAATTTGTTATTCTTTTGTTTGTTAGCTGATATGAGTTATTAGCTAATATTTTTGATAAGTGTAAATCTTTTGTATTATTTTCTGATAAGATTTTAGTTAGGTTGTTTTGATTTTCCTTTGTATCATGGCTTTATTTAAACAAGCCTTTAGCTGTTCAATTAATCAAGTCACATATTTCAAATATTATTGTTATGGTATCAGAGCCAAAAGATCTAGGCCTTTCTTCTTCCTTGCTTTGCTAGCCAGAACCATGGCTGCTTCAAGCAAAAATTTCAAAATTACTGATCCCCGTTCTCCCTTTTACACTTGTAGTCGCGGACGTCACACCAGAGGACGCAGTCATGCTGCCTCTTCTGCCCAAGCTGCGCACACCATCACCACCTAACTAGAAAATTCCACAACCGGTACTGCCTCTTTGCCGAGCCTTACACCGGAAGTGCTTCAACAATTGCTGGCTCTGGTTGATTCTTCTAAACAGTCATCTGACAAGCTTTCTGGTAACACGCATACTTCTATTTCATGGTTTATTGATAGTGGTGCATCCCAACACATGATTGGTAACGTTGCTTTTTTATCTTGATATTCGATCCATATCCCTTTGTACCGTGGGTTTGCCTAATGGAAATCAAACAACTGCAGTAAAGAGTGGCACTGTTTCATTAACTTCTTCATTAGTTCTAACTAATGTGCTATATGTTCCATCTCTCACCTGCAACCTGATTTCAGTCTCTCAGTTAATAAAGTCAAATACATGCTACGTAATTTTTACTGACAAAAATTGCATCTTGCAGGACCAACACTTGAGGACAACGATTGCATGGGGTGATGTGCGGGAAGGGGTGTATGTCTTGAGGAATTCGTCAATTTTCACTAATGCAATACAAATTTCGGATTCTTACTCTTTGTGGCATAAAAGACTTGGTCATCCTTCTCGACATTATCTTTCACTGCTTCCTTTTATTTCAAGTTCGAATAATGTTGGTTTTTGTGATGTATGTTCTAGAGCTAAACAGGCTCGCAGTCCATTTTCAATAAATAAAAAATGCAGCTTGCATGTTTTTGATTTAATTCACTATGATCTCTGGGGTCTTTATGCTACTGTCTCCTTCACTGGTGCTAAATATTTTTTTACTATTGTGGACGATTGCAGTCAAAATGTGTGGGTATTTTTAATGCAAAATAAAGGAGAAACATATTCACATTTTCGATTTTTTCTTAACATGGTTTCCACTCAATTTCAAACATCAGTAAAAAGCATTCAAACAGATAATGGAAGTGAATTTATGTCATCTATGATGCAAACTTTATTGGCAGATTTTGGTATTCTTCATAAGCAATCATGTACCTACACACCCCAACAAAATGGGCGAGTGGAAAGAAAGCATCGTCACATTCTTAATGTAGCTCGTGCACTACGATTTGATGGTAATCTGCCTTTTCATTTTTGGAGTGATTGCATTCTCAACGCTGCTCATCTCATAAATCGAACTCCCACAAAACTCCTTGATGGCAAAACTCCTTTTGAAGTTCTTCATGGAAAAGCTCCATCATATGATCACTTGCGAGTTATTGGATGTCTATGTTATGCTACTGTAGTGCCTAAACCATCAGACAAATTTGCTGCTAGATTGAAACGCTGCATTCTCCTTGGTTATCCGTTCAATAAGAAGGGTTGGGAGCTTTTTGATTTGGAATCAAATGAGGTATTTATTTCTCGCGATGTTAATTTTCATGAGGATAAATTTCCTTTTGCTCTACACAACAGGCTTTCTTCTTCTCAAACTAGTATACCGCAAGCAAATTCGGAAATTTATGAACCACCATATGCCAATTTACCCGAACCAGTTTCTGACGTGGTGAGTTCAACTTCAGCAGCTTCCGAGGCGGTGGTTGCATCTCCTGCAGCTTCTGACGCGGTGACTTCAGCTTCCGACGCGGTAGTGGTATCCCCAGCAGTTTCCAAAGCGGTGAATGTGCCTTCCTCTTCCGAGAATACTGATGCTAATTCTTCTCATTTGTCTCCTATTATTACCTTTCACGATAGGGGGAGCTCTGTATCTGCCATGTTGCCAGTAGTTGCACCGAATCAACGTGCGCGAAGACAACATAAAGCTCCTGCCTATCTTAGTGACTATCAATGCAATTCCACGACTACACCCTCTTCTACCAACATCACTCCTTCAGTCGCCTCAGGTAAACCGTATCCTATAGATCAATTTTTGTCTAACAATAAATTTTCTACGCAGCATCAGAGATTTATTGCAGTTGTTGGTGCACATATTGAACATACTACGTTCAAGGAGGCCATGCAAAATAAAATGTGACAAGTCGCTATGCAACTCGAAATTGATGCATTGGAAGCTAATACAACTTGGGTTATTACTAACTTGCCTCCTGGAAAGAAAGCTATTCCTTGCAAATGGGTGTTCTGCATAAAATACAAATCTGATAGCTCCATTGAACGTTATAAAGCACGTTTAGTCATTGCTGGCAATAACCAGATTGAAGGAGAAGACTATACAGAAACATTTGCACCTGTGGCAAAAATGGTTAGTGTGCATACTTTTTTATCTGTGGCTGTTGCAAAGGATTGAGAGTTACATCAACTTGACGTTCAAAATGCTTTTCTTCATGGTGATCTCAATGAAGAAGTCTACATGAAATTCCCTCTAGGATTCACTAATAGCTCTCCAGGTCAGGCTTGTAAACTTCAAAAATCCCTCTACGGTTTAAAGCAATCGCCTAGAAGCAATCACCTAGAAACTGGTTTGCCAAGCTTTGCCTCTCATTTATTTCCTTTGGTTTTCAACAATCCAAAGCTGATTATACACTTTTTACATATTCTACTAGTGATAAATTTGTTGCGGTTTTGGTTTATGTGGATGATATTATTTTAGCAAGTAATAATTCTGCTATTTGTCTTCAAGTAAAATCACATCTCCACACTTGGTTTAAAATCAAGGATCTTGGTAAGCTGAAATATTTCCTCGTTATTGAACTTGCAAGAAGCTCTACTGGTTTATTTTTATGCCAACGAAAATTTGCGCTGTATATTCTTAAAGAATGTGGTTTACTTGGTTGCAAACCAGTTGATTTTCCTATGGAGCAGAATGTCAAGTTAGCACTAGATGATGGTCCTGCTTTTTCAGACCCTACACGATATAGAAGACTTGTAGGAAGGTTAATATATCTTACTATCACCCGTCCTGAGCTCAGCTATGCAGTCCATTCTCTATCTCAGTTCATGCAGCATCCGAAGCAAGCTCATTATGATGCAGTCATCCGAGTACTTCGTTATATTAAAAGAAATCCAGGACAAGGGATTCTTCTTCAATCAGATTGTGACCTTCAACTTAAAGCCTTTTGTGATTCAGATTGGGCAACCTGCCCTATTACAAGACGGTCTGTCACAGGTTATTTTGTTATTCTTGGCAATTCTCTTATTTCCTGGAAAACTAAGAAACAACATACTGTTTCTCGATCTTCCGCTGAAGCTGAATACCGATCAATGGCAAGTACTACAGCTGAGCTTCTATGGCTTAAATCTTTTCTTCATTCTCTTAGTGTTCATCATACTCAATCCATGAAATTATTTTGTGATAGTCAATATGCTCTTCACATAGCTTCAAATTCGGTTTTCCATGAGCGCACCAAACACATTGAGCTAGATTGCCATTTTGTTCGTGAGCATCTCATGTCAAAAACAATTTCTACAGCTTATATCAAGACCTCCTTACAACCAGCTGACATTCTTACTAAGGCTCTTGGTAAGAAGCAGTTTGAATTTTTAATGTCCAAGTTGGGCATCTCCTCCCTCCATGATCCAACTAGAGGGGGAGTATTGGGATAAGATTGTATAGATTAATTTGTTATTCTTTTGATGGTTAGCTGATATGAGTTGTTAACTAATATTCTTGATAAGTGTAAATCTTTTGTATTATTTTCTGATAAGATTTTAGTTAGGTTGTTTTGATTTTCCTTTGTTATCACATGTTTCAAATATTTTTGTTAATTTTTTACAATGGTTCCTAGAGGAGGAAATGAGACTTGCGTTGGACTATTAGATCTGAATGAAATAGAATTATATGGATTATTTTTAGTTACTCTTTCTTTGGCCACCTTTAATTTTGAAGATATTTTATCTAGGGATAGGCAAAATAAGTGAGGTTTTTTAATTGATGGTTTTTCTTTCGATTTTCTCATTATTTTCTGTCTTGATCGCAAAGGAAGAGAGAAAGGGTGTGGGAGGAAGTGAGGAGAAAGAAAGGGTAAAAAAGGGATTATTTTATATAGCAAATATTGACCGTTGGATGAGATTATAATCGAACGATATTGAAAGGAGTAGGCAAATGTAGGCAAAATAAAAGTAGGCAGAATAACATATCCCTTATTATTATTGTTAATTATTTATTCTTATTATATTCACACTAGCTATTAGGTTATATTTTTTATTTAAAAACATATTATCTTATTTTTAAAATTTCTTAAATTAAAAAATGAGAAATACGAAATAGAAAACTTGAGATAATTTTTTCCCTACACCAATATTTTTTTTTTGTTCCAGCGAAAAAAATACTAGTCTACAGTTTTGTATATTTGATTTTTTAACTTCAGAATACCTTTTTTAAAAAAAATAAGGTAATATATATTTTAATAAAAAATACGAATCAATAATTTAGATTTAATATATATAAATAGTTAAGATTTCGGGAAATAATTTTATAGAAAAATTGTTATCACATGTTGTACTAAAAAAAAGTTAGACCCATAAATAAGAGGAGAGAAAAAAAAAGTGATGGGATCCATTTCTTTTCTTGTGGGTAGAAAATTTGTTTCTCTCATACAAAATGAGATAAATATAACCCATTTAAAAATGGGGTTCGTTTTTTGTCATGTCACATGACAAAATTATTTTATCTGCACACACAAATCAAGTGTGGGTCCCATGTTTAAAAAAAAGTTAGAATATGAAACCGGATCCTTATTGTAGGAATGAATAGTGTCATTCCTGCAACATGATTATTATATTTCTCTTAAAAATGTATTATAAATTATATTAAGAGTTTAATGTCAGGTTAATAAAAAAATGTATTATAAATTGAGAGTTTAAAAATTAATTAAAATGAAATTACAATTTAATGCATCTATTCGTAAAAAAATATAAAATATAAAATATAAAATTGCTTAATATTTTTTGTTTTATTTTCTTTTTCATTTTTAAACTTTGTCCTTTTCAATTATTTCATTATATTATAGGGCAATATTTCTTTCACTTAATAAGAGCAAAATTTTTTGTAGCACTAACAATAAAATAGAGCTCACAAGTTAAAGATAATATAGGGAAATTATATATATATATATATATATATATATATATATATATATAATACAGGCATGTTTTTATGTATGTGATATAAGATTGTTGGAGAAAATAATTGCCCTATATTATATTGTAATGTAGTATAAAATTAGGGTTAAGTATTTTTTTAATTGTTTTTATATTATGTATTACGTAATTATATATTTTTTTTTCATTTTTCATATCAACTAAAGTAATTGAAGAGACATATTATAATTATATATCATCTGTAATAGATATTATTAAAAATTAAAAGTACGCAACAACTTCTGTCCTTTAAATCAGATTGTAGATAAGCATTGGTTATATAGTAATGGAATATAACACGCTCAAAACTATGTCCTTCGAATCAGATTGTATATAGCAACTCTCTCCTTATCCTTGAAGCGTGAAACTAGACAACACTAAAAGCTTAC